AGGAGATCACCGCGGCGCCATCCACCTCCCAGGTGAGCGTTCAGCCAGCGGGTCAGGGTCAGGCCCATGCGGACACAATGGACCTTCATGCCACCCTCGTAGCGATCCAGGCGCAACTTAGTACGCTTGGACCATTGCAAGTGCAGATCAATGCGCTTACCCTTGACGTCAACCGCCTCAAGGGCTCTCCTCATCACTCTCCCCACCGCTCCCATACCCCATCCCCTACCGGCTCCGAGTACGGCTCCCCACGACTCTAGAGTCGGAGACATCGTGGTTCCCCCTCCTCTGCGGACCAGACCCAACACTCCCCCGCAGCAGTGGCGAGTGCTGCTGCCGCTCAGACCACCCCGTCTGTTGCAGCAGTTCTCCCGACCACGACCGCCCCTACCGTCTCTGCTACTGCCGTAGGTGCTACGGTCCAGGTACCGCCTTATGGCCCAGCAGTTTCATCGACCCACACCGGTGTTGCTTCCCAGCTTCCCGCACCGGTCGCGGCAATACGGCTCCGCCCTCTTCTTTCTGCCTTCGTCCCCCCGCCCCCACAGCAGGGTACCGCCCAGGCTGGGATTCCTCCTCCCACTGGAAGACCCGCTCCGCCCCCTCCACCTCCAACCCCGCGCACCCAGTCAGTGGCCACTTTACAGGCCACCATTGCGCAGGCTCAGGCGGAGATTCTCGCTCTGAGACAGCCTCACCCATCACAGGCTGCCCACCCTTCTTCCTCTACCACCCCTTCGGTCCCCATGATGCAGGCTCGTTTCCCTCAACCTGCTCCTCAGCCTCTTCCCTCCTACCTGGCTATTCCGGGACAGCTGCCCGCGACCGTTGCCTCCTCGTCTGTTGGTCCATCCGCCAGCGGCCACGGCCCACAGCCTTCCCCCACCTCTGCCCCTGCAGCGGCCTCGACTTACACTGCCGCAGTGCACTCGCCTCGATCTCTCTCCCCCCGCCATCAGCATAGTGGGCATCCTCCTGTGCGCACCACGGACATCCCCGAGTATGATGGGACATCCTGTGTCTCTCGCTGGTTGCAGATAGCAACGCGCACGCTCTCTATGACGACCACCCATCAGGAGTTGTGGTGCGATGTGCTTTGGTTGCGAGGTAGCCCTTCCACTGCGTGGGAGGATCATTATACCCAGCGCCTCCCCGTGGGTGAGGTCCCCACTCTGGCCGACTTCGCGGCCTTCCTTCAGGATCGTTTCGGCGCTCGTCATGACGCCACCGACGCCTTAGACCGCGTCGCCCAGACCAGATGGTCCGGGTCCTCTGTACCGGACGACCTGGAGCGTCACATCCGGGTGTTTCAGGACGCTCACCTTGTTTGTGACGAGATGTTCCTATCGGAGGTCACACTCACCGACCGGTTCCTTGTCAGCCTGTCGACTGACTACCTAGAACTATGGATGCGATCATTCTCTTCCGCAGAGCAGGCATACGAGGCTGCGCGTCAGTACCAGAGGACGTGCAGTCGCTTCTCCGTCGCCCCATCCTCTTCGCGGCCAACCGCCACCTCCTAGTCTCGGGGTACCACCCGAGGCCGCTCCTCGTTTGCCGGTCATTTTCGTCGCCCGACTCGACGTGGAGCGCCATTCGCTCGACACTACAGTTCTCTCGAGTATGGAGAGGACACCTCAACCGAGCTCGATCCTACCATTGGGGACGCCCCCGAGGACATCGAGCTTCGGGACGTCATCCAGTACCACTTGGATGACGACACTGTCCCAATGGTCGAGCGCCCGCAGATGGCCACGTCTGCCATGGGTCGTGCACGCAGTCGGGTTGCATAGGCTGGCACCCGCACACCCACAGTTCCTCAGATAGACGTCCCGCAGGGTTTTGTCCCTCCTCGCGGAGCTCTATCCCCCGAGGAGCGTGCCGCCCTCGAGGCCCGACGAGGCTGCCTTCGTTGCTGCCAGGATGGACACACCTCCTCACAGTGTGCATACCACACCGCCCTCGATCGGTACTACGCTGACATTTCTCGTCAGCGCCGATCTCAGTCCCCTCCCGGCCCCGCCCGGCCAGCCCTACCCAGCTAGTCACGATGCAGTGTACCCCTGAGGCCTCGCACGTAGCTGGCTTCCCGACCATCGAGTCGCAGTTTGCCCCTTTGGCTACCCCACCAGAGGACCCTCAGGATACGACAGACGCAGTTCTCTCTGCCCCGTCGTCTGTCGAGGTACTGTCTGCCTCCCCGCAGACCGCCACATCTAGCGCTTCTCCCCCGAGACTTCCGACGCGTCGCGCCATTCGCACAGCCCGTTGTAGCACTCAGCTGGCGACTCGCGATGACGTTGTGTCATCTCTCCTGGACTTGAGCATTCTGCAGGCTCGTCAGGAGCGACTCACGAGGCACGTCAACATCCTGCGTCATCTTCTCGCTCTGCTCTCTGATCCCGATCGCACCCTACCCATTATCCCTATCCGCCTAGGGACATCTACAAGGGTGTATCACGCTTTATGGGACTCCGGCTCGCAGGGAGATTTCGTTCACCCTCGAGTGGTTGAGGAAGCTCGCCTAGCTACCTCGAGTCTCGCTCTCCTATCTCCGTTACCCTCGGAGATAACAAGACGCAGCGCTTCTTCGATCAAACGGTCCCCGACCTCCACTTCTCCCTCACCCTCCAGCCATCGGATAGTACCCAGATGCCTAGGCGCTACCATTCCTCCGCATACTTCGACGTGCTGGAGACTGGGTACGACTTTATCCTTGACACTCCCTGGTCTCACCGGTTCCGCAGCACAGAGGCCGAATGGGCGACCGAGACACTCGTTCTCAAAACGAAGTGCTGCCAGACCCTTCGAGTCCCCTTCATTGGAACCACGGGTGACACCCCCCCAGACCTACCTCCCCAAGACCCTCGTCCCTCTGGGTCCCACCCAGACATCGCCTTCACTTCCCCTCATCAGTTTGCTCACTTCATCCGACAGGAGGACATCACATTCTACTCAGTGAACGTCATGGATCTTCTTCGCTATGATCCACTCTGTCCCGAGGTGAGCTCATCTCACTGGAGCCCTATCCCCTTGACCCTTCCTCCATCTTCGCGGCTCCCATCTCCACATCCACCCGTCAGCCAGCGGATACCCCCTCCACGTCCCAGGCCCCTGCACAGCCGACCGTCGAGTCCACATATACGTCTCGTGCCGACGCAGACGCTGAGGAACTCACATGGTTCACGGTAGACTTAGAGCCCGCCGTTCGCGACCTGATTCGAGAGTACCGCGACGTCTTTCCCCCGTACTTCTCATAAAGCGGAATTCCCCAGATGCGCGGTGTTAAGCATTCTATACAGCTCGTGTCTGACTATCGTGTTCACCATCAGGCACCGTACCGACTCTCGATTCCAGAGGCGACGGAACTCAAGCGTCAGCTTGAGGATTTCCTTCGACTGGGTTTCATTAAACCCAGTAACTCCCCTTGGGGTGCACCTGTCCTCTTTGCTCGCAAAGCGGACGGAACACTTCGCCTCTGCATCGACTACCGCGGCCTTAACCGTTACACGGTTAAGAAAAACTATCCCATGCCCTGCGCGGATGAGTTGTTTGACCGTCTGGCAGGCAACCGCTTCTTCACGAAGATCGATCTTCGTAGCAGTTACCACCAAATTCGCATTGCCACAGAGGATCAGCCGAAGACCGCCTTTCGGTCGCGCTTCGGCCACTACGAGTTCACGGTGATGCCATTCGGCCTCACCAATGCCCTCGCCACCTTCCAGACGGCGATGAACGACATCTTCAGGGACATCCTTGAAGAATACGTTCTCGTATACCTGGATGACATCTTGGTCTACAGTCGTACCTTAGAAGACCATCTCAGACACCTCCGCGATGTCCTACAGCGCTTACGCAAGCATGGCTTCTATGCCAAGCTCAGTAAGTGCCGCTTTGCCCAGCGCAAAGTGGACTTCCTAGGACACCATGTGCCTGACCAAGGTCTCCACATGGACGACGCGAAGATTACTGCTATCGTAGAGTGGCCCGTCCCAGCATTTGCCAAGCAGCTTCACAGTTTCCTAGGCCTCACCAGCTACTATAGTAATTTTATCCAGGGATGCGCTAGGTATTCCTACGTCCTTACCTCCACCCTCCTCCGGAAGAACCCGTCGTGGTTTTGGACACCCCTGTGCGAGGACGCCTTTCGCGCCCTCAAGAAGGCGGTGACCTGTGCGCCGGTTCTTCGCCTTCCCGATTTTGATCGTCCCTTTATAGTCACCACCGATGCGTCAGATTTTGCAGTAGGAGTTGTCCTTTCTCAGGTGTTTCCCTCTCCTCCAGATTCACCTTACCCCCATGTTCCTCCTTTCCCCCCCCCTCCTGCTGACACTTCTTCTCGACTGACGCCTACCCTCCCACCACTTCCCTCCACTGACAGTCCTCCTGTTACTTACTTCTCGACCATCGTGGAGGATGGGACTGTCGAGGCTCATGCTGGGGATTGCCCGATCGCTTTCTACTCCCGTCAGCTACTGCCTGCCGAGATAAACTACACTGTCGATGAACGTGAGGTTCTCGCAGTAGTTTATGCTACCCGACATTGGCGTCATTATCTGCATGGGGTGCCCTTCACGGTGCGCACGGACAACTCAGTTGTCCAGGCTTTCCTCACGAAGCCTAAGCTTTCCCCTCGACAGGCACGCTGGTGGCGTGACTTATCCGAGTTCAGTTTCACCACTCAGCCCATCAAGGGTGAAACGAACTGCGTCGCCGATGCCTTGTCCCGCCGTCCTGATCACAATCAGGAACCCATCCATCTTGCTGCCATCTCCATCACCACTGTTGATCAGTCGGTGATCGNTCTTGCTGCCATCTCCATCACCACTGTTGATCAGTCGGTGATCGACGCGTATCGCACTCAGTACCGCCACTGCCCCGATTATCGCGTCATCCACGTGACACTGCGGAGTGGCAAGACCGTTCCTTCCTACTCCCTCGGGGAGAACGGCCTCGTGTACTGGCATGGCAGATCTGGTCAGCTAGAACCACGTATCTGCGTTCCCTCCACCAGACAGCTCCGCGTCCAGGTTGTAGCAGAGTTCCATGACCAGGCAGTTGTCGGTCATATGGGTTTCCACAAGACGTTGACTCGTGTTTGCCGCCTATACGTCTGGGCGAAGTCCAAGGACTTTGTCAAAGCCTACATCCAGGAGTGTCCTACCTGCCATGAGGTGAACAGTGCGAACCACCTTCCGTATGGGTTACTTCAGCCCCTACCCATACCTGAAGGTTGTTGGCAGTCCATCTCGATGGATTTCATTGGTCCCCTCCGCCCACCCACTGAGCGCAGTCATGATGCTATCTTGGTCGTCGTCGATCGCTCACGAAGCGTGCACGTTTTGTCCCGTGCCGCTATCGCATTAGCGTTCGTGAGGTCGCCGACATCGTCTTCGACCGAGTCGTGAGAGATCACGGCTTACCTCATAGCATCATCTCCGACCGTGACCCGCGCTTTACCAGCACATTCTGGCGATGCCTACACGAGGTGTACGGATCCCAGCTCCGCTTCTCATCGTCTTACCACCCTCAGACGGATGGTCAGACTGAGGTCACCAATAAAACTCTCGGTAATATCCTCCGAAAGTTTGTTAGGGATGACCAGCAGTGGGACTTACACTTAGCCTACGCGGAGATTGCATACAACCACGTTGTTTCGCTAGCCACGGGGATGTCGCCATTCTATTGCGACCTCGGCTACCACCCTCGCGTACCCGCGGATTTCCTACGACCATCGCGGTTGCGCCTCGACACTCGTTGCCCTGCGCTTGACGACTGGATCGCCCACATGGAGGCGATAATGAAGCGCGCACACGAGAGTTTAGCCGACTCCCAGACTTGCATGGCCGCACGAGCGAACCGATCACGAATGGATCATCTATTCAAAGTCGGTGACGATGTGTTCGTTGACGCACGCCACTTACAGCTCGAAGCAGATACGCTTCGCAAGGTCATGCGACGTTTCTTCGGTCCATGCTGCATCCTTCAGGCCGTCGGTTCTGATACTGCCGCTAGTCCGGTCAGCTTCCGTGTGAAGCTACCTGATTACCTTCGACAGGCTCGCGTACACGATGTTTACCACGTCTCCTTGCTGCGTCCTTATCGCAGACCGTCCGAGCGCTTCGCCGGACGCCCTTATGAGCGCCCTCCACCTATCATGGTAGACGGTCACGAGGAGTTCGTTGTTTCCGACATCGTATCACGCCGAGTTACCGACGATACCCCTCCACGCATCGAGTACCTTGTGCGTTGGAAGGGCTACCCTGATGAGGAGGCTACTTGGGAGCCCCTCGAGCATTTGCAGCACGCCAGGATGTTGGTGCGTACATACGATCGTGCTCGTCGTGCTGAGATGTCTGCCCCTGCTCAGCCGACTGACCCTCTTCCTCCTCCTCCGGCTGAGGAGATTGCTGAGGACGAGCCCGCTCCCTCTGAGGCCGTTCCTCAGTCGCAGACGGTCGCCTCCGAGCGTCCACAGCGCACTCATCGTCGCTCTTCGTGTTACGATGACTGACACTCTTATCCTCTATCTTTCCCCTACTGACTCACACTATCAGGTACTCCATCATCAACTTCTTCAGAATGTCAGCGTTTTGCGGCTCTGCTTTGACATCGACTCGACTGCTACTTCATCGACGTCATCGACCACTTCGACGACTTCAGCCACCTCATTGGCTTCAGCTACTTTGGACGTGACTACTTCACGCCACCACCCTATCCTGTACATTCCCTTGCATCTGTCGCATGATGGTTCTCACTTAGCTGGGTCTCTTTGAGTTGGGCTCTCCCTTGGTATCGCATGAGCATTGGGACCGTAGTGTTATCTTGGCTTCCCTGATCCCAGATCTAGCTCCTTCCTCCCCCAGTCGGTGGGTTGTGTGCATGTTTCCCTCACCCACTGCCCTCATCACCCTAGTGTCGTCCCTTGCATGCCTTCAGTTAGGCATATCTCCACCCTATTCCAGGCTTCCCCTTTTTTCATGGTTGACCCTGCATGGTGTCATCCTTTTGTCGAGCATTACCCGCCCTGATGGTCTATCTGTTAGGGTCTTTGGTTTTGTTTCGATACCACTCTCCCACCTTGAGCCTGATGACCTATCCCACCTTCACGTGTGACTGCCCTTAGGAGTTTCGATTCTTAGGCTGCGTTTACCCCCTCTGAGACCATCCCACCCTTAGTGGTTCAACGACAGGACATTATCTTGTGCCATATTGCTCTTTTTCCTTTCAGCACTGAGACAATTGCCTCCAGGACTTTAGGATTGTATATTGCTACATTTCACTTTTTGCTATTAGCTAGGATATGGATACCAGACATTTGCTTTTCTTTTGACATTATGTAGCTTAGGATGCATCRCATGGACTCCGCATGGAGCTTGCTCCGCATCCTAGATTTCTCAGYTTTYTTTATTGCAGAGTTCCGCTGCTTTTGCGGATAGCGTGTTTATGGCTCTTGCGATCCATTACAGGTCTGAGGATCGTGCAGCGGGCCTTCATCTGCCCTGGCCTACAGCCAGGGCCTATTTGGCTATTTGCCAGTTCGGCCTGTGGGACCACGCCGTGGCCTGACCCCACAGGCCGTGTGATGTTCCAGTCCTGCCCGGTACCACTGTCGGTACCAGGCCAGTCCAGTTAGTCAGTCCGCTGGGTGTATACCCCAGCTGTAGTCTGTTTTTGATTCATTCCTCATTTGCACAGATTGGAGTACGTGCATGTTGAGTCTGCGTTGGAGCTGCGCTATCCCTTCCAGCTCCATCTCCATCTCCCCCATCCTCATCCCTTCGTCTTGATCCTGACGGACGTCATCCCAACAGGTCCGTCACACAGACAATCCCCCAAGTCTTTCGACCCGTCGTGAGCCATAGTCGTGTTGTATGTAGTATTGCTGGAGATAATCGGTAGAAGGCGCCCAAGCCAAAACCTTTTCGGTTTTGGGCGCCCAAAGTTTAGCCGTTTGGTACTACCGGCCCAATGACTTGCATGATGGGTACTACGGGCCCACGAGTCTCTCCAAGGGCCCTACCGGATCATGAATCTGGGGCATAACAGCGCCAGATTCATTTTGATGTAAAAGAGGCCGGCGTTGTAAGGCTGAAGTATAGAATGAGGCCCACGTACGCGATTCTGAAAAATAAGGGCCCTACCAGTTCATGGATCTGGCGCAGAAACAGCGCCAAATTCTTAAACTGGTATAAACAGGCCCAGGAAGATGTGGCCACGGCGCGAAGGCGCCTTTCACCCAGGGGAAAGTTGTTTGGGCGGGTAATACCAAACGACCGAACTTTGGGCGGCCAAAACCGAAAAGGTTTTGGCGTGGGCTCTTTCTACCAATTATTCCGTGTTGCTGGGTAGTGGGGGAAGGTCCTCCTTATGGGGAGGGATTATGTCCAGATGCCTGCAGAATATGGTCTGCTTCCCGTTTCTTCCACCCCCGACTGATGGGAAGCCGAGAGACGCTGAGCGCCTGTAGAGTATAGTCTGCTTCTCGTTTCTTCAACCTCCTGCTGATAGGATGCCGAGCAATGCTGAGCGATGTTGTTGCTGGTTTGGAGAGTCGGGGAAGCTGGCCGTATGTGCTTGTCCCTGTATTCCCTTGAGATGTCGATCTTCCTTTCCTCGGTGGAGGGGATGGGGGGAGAGACTAGAGGGCGGCAGGGGGGAGGAGGAGGGGGGTCATTGGTGGATGAGGACCAAGGATGGGGTAGTGGAGGCTAAAGGGACCAGGAACTCAGTGAGGGACCTTTGGAAAGTCCGAAAGTACTTTTCCAAAACCCCATCGCAGAGGACCAAATGCCCTTGGAAAACCCTTGGGAAATTCGTTGAGCCAATCGTTGCCTGTTTCCGTTGGCACTCGTTTGCTTTGTTCTTTTTTCCGCTTTTGTTTTTTTTTTTTGGGTGGCACTCTTCATCGCTATTCGCTGCTGCCTCTCGTGAGACTTTTCCAGGAACGACACGCCCTTCCCCCTACTCTCGAGAGTCGGCACAAAATTTCGGTGAGGAATCCTCCCGTGAGACTTTTCCAGGTGGAGGATTATGTGAAAACACAAATTGATGTTTTTCCAAGCCGCAATCTTCGGTCTGTGGGGTCCTGGAAAAGGGTTTGCGGAAGAAATTTCACCTTTTCCAGGACATTTGCGGCAGGCTGTGCGGTCCTTGAAACAGTTTTGCAGCAAAGTTTTTCCTTTCCACGATCCTGTGGGGTCGTTGCCTAAGCTAAGCAAAGGGGAATAATCTTCGTGAGCATGCAACACGATATTCTATATTTGCCCAAAATTCTGCCTACATGTACCCAGAAGGCAAACTGATACTGGACCTGTTTTCCAGCAGGTGATGCTGTGACGCCCAACCTCATGCCCAGCGCGACTTTCTGATCGGAGTGGGATGGGGACCCGAAAGTGCGAAGAAAGGGGGTGTGCCAAGGATTTTAGGAAAGTGGAAGGGGGAGAGGGGTGGAGTCCTAGGTCGGAACTGAGATCTCCTGTGGCAAGTTTCGGGGGTAAAAGCGCAAGAGGGGATATGTAGGCCGTGCCTTGGCGCTTTAATCCTTATGAGAAGGAAGGTAGACTACCTCTCGTTGTCTGTGCACAGTGGGAAAGCTGCAGATGCCGTGCAGCATAGGGCAGATGGCATGTGCAGTGCATCCCAAACCAAAGTTCCCGGGGTACTCTTCTACAACCCCAACGTCGACAGATCTAAACACTCTTCATTCTCGAACAAAATCCCAACAACATCGCCCTTGCCAACGAACCCCAATTTCGTCAGCTTAAAAACCCAAAAAAGGAAATCACCTTCGCCTTTGGTTTCGCTTTCGGGGTCGGTTGCGGGGTTCGGCCAGTTGTCGGCGCCGCTCGTAACAGGCTTCGGATTCAGCCGAGGCGGGCCGTAAACGGAGGCTGTGCATTCGCTGCTCAGCTTCGGTTCGAGTCTGTCGGGTAGTTCCTGAAGCTCGGCGTGCCCGGTAATGCTGGCAATCATCGCACGGCGGGCTGGGCCAATAACGAGCTATGGAATTCCGCAGAACCACTGTGAGTTGGTGAAAGGGGGGGAGGAGATGGAAGGGAGGGAAGTTGGTGGTGATAACGATGAAACCCGAGGATATGTAGTATTGGGTATTATCCGTGTCCGGGTAGTCTGGGCCTTTAGGATCGCTGGTTATAGCCCAGTGGAAATTCCCCGCGCATAGTCGGTCGTGCTCCGTCAGACAGGGGAATTCTGGGTTTCTCAAGCTTCCCCGTAGTCTAAGTTGTTCGCCTTCCCGATACTTGCGATATTCAGGGTCCCTCAGGTTCTCGTAGTCGGACGCCCAGGAGGGAGATCTCGCAGCCATATCCGTTTAGTAAGCCGAATCCCCCGCATCCTTACACGGGGTTAAGGCTGACTCACGCGGACGAGCGCGTGTGTGGCTACTTGGCTTTCTCGAGATCGCGATCGTGCGCGCCCGCGCTCGTAAGAAACAGCCGATTGGTTTCGCGTGCCGGTCGCGTTCATCATAAGTGCAAATATCCTACCAATCACTACTGTAACATGCCATACATGTGACGCAGAAGGACAATCAACTCATCACAACACTCCTAAATGTTAACGATTAGACCCCAGACATCCAAAATGAGCATTCCCAATCAGTTCGGAGCGTATAGCCCATGCAAGTGAACAATGGTCAGAGACGAAACAGGCATCGCAAAACAAATTTGGAAATCCGAAAATATCGCTAAGAAAAGCGAATTTACATTCATTTCATGCCTACATACCGAATAAAATCACAAGGAAAATCCAAGACGGTGTACAGGAGAAGTCCAAAAGAGGAGGGCCGTGACGAAAA